AAATAAATATTGAAATTCTCTCTCTCCTCTCTCTCCCTCTCTCACTCTCTTTAAAAAAAAAAAGAAAAAAATACATTTAACATTATAGGAGGAATGACAAGATAGCATTCCAGATTAGCAAGCATTATTAAGCAGCCAGACAGGTGGCATGGGAAAGGCACCACTCAGAAGACAAATTGGTAAAACCACCTTGGAGAACAATTTCCAGGTAAGTGCACACCACACCCTGGCCACTCCACCTCCAAGATGACACTCACAGGAGCCTTGCTCAAGGATGTCATTTGTAATACTGAGAAGCTGCCCATCATGAGGAATAAGTTGGGATGTTCATAAATGAACTGCAGTGGGCTCTCTACATCTGTGAGTTCCACATCATGGTCCAATCAGCCACAGATTAAAATATTTGAAAAACAAAAAAACAAAAAAAACCACTACAGGGACTTTTTCTTGCCATTACTCCCTAAACAATACAATATAAAAAAACATTTCCAGGTGGGCATAGTGGTACATGTCTGTAATCCCAACTGCTCAGGAGGCTGAGGCAGGAGGATGGCAAGTTCAAACCCAGCCTCAGTAACCTAGGGAGATGCCATCTCAAAAGGGCCAGGCACATAGCACAGCAGGAGAGGCTTGTTGAACAAGCCTGTATACCATTCCCAGCAGTGCATTTCCATAGTGTTTACATGATATCTGGTACTATAAGTGACCTAGAGTTGATTTAAAGTCCCCACAAAGAGGGACTGGGTTTGTACCTCAGTGGTGCTTGCCTTACACATGTTGAGGCACTGTGTTCAATCCTCAGCACCAAGCTAAAAAAAAGTATTGTGTCCATCTACAACTAAGTTAAAAATAAAGTGTACAGAGGATATTTGGAGTCTACGTGCATATACTATGCTATCATATAGGAGACTAAAACATAAGGATTTGTGTTCAAGGGTGTCTTAGAACCAATACCCCACAGTTAGAGATAGCTGTATGCACACCTGTATCCCAGCAACTCTGCTTCTAAGAGAAGCTCAAGAATTTTTGCTCCAGGATATTGCTGCAGCATTACAACATTAATGTCATGGAGGAGTCCGTTGAAAACAGTTATGATGAGTTAACTATCTCTCTGTTAACACATATCAGTTGCATACAACTGCAGTTATATTACAAGACTTCACAAGTAATAATCATTGGAATCATGCATGCTAAATAAATAAAAACAAAACAAGAATGGTGAAGATGTGCAAACCCCTGCCGAGGGCTGCTGCTGAGGAAGACAGGCAGAGCTGCGAGCCAGCGTGAAGCATAAGCGGCAGCTCTTTAAAGGCAGAGGTGCAGTAGCTGCCTCAAAGAAACTAAAAAACATGGGCTGGGGATGTGGCTCAAGCGGTAGCGCGCTCGCCTGGCATGCGTGCGGCCCGGGTTCGATCCTCATCACCACATACCAAAGATGTTGTGTCTACCAAGAACTAAAAAAAAAATAATTAAAAAAAAAAAGAAACTAAAAAACATTCCAAAATATGTGCTCTCTGGGCCGTAGAATTTGGGGGTTAATTTCTCTACAGTAAATAGTTGTYTCTTGGTATCTGCAGAATCTGGGACTTGCCCCAAACAGACAAAAACAAAGATGCTCAAGTCCCTTATACAAAATGGGTATTTACTTGGAATAAATGTGCATCCTTCCACTTTAAATCATCTCTAGGTGTAGAATCCCTAACACAATGGAAGTGCTATGTACAGAATTGTCACCATAATCGCTTAGGGAAAAGCCTGTTTGCATTCAGCTCAGATGCAATCTTTCTGAATACTTTTGATCAGCGATTAGCTCACTACAAGATGTGGAACCCATGAATACAGAGAGATAACTACATATGTTTAAAAAAAAAAAAAAAAAAAAATCAAAAGAGGTCTCTTATGACCTCCAATTAAGTTGAATCAAGCACCTACTTTGGCAGGAAGTTTGAGACAGGTGGCTCCTGGGAATGGCCTCTCGTATGTGGGTGGTAGCTGCTACTTCAGTGACCACAGGGAGCCTATAGACTCATATGAGGAAGTGCAGGAAGACCGAAGGCCCCCAGGAGGCCAGGCTCTCCAGTAAGTGACAGTGGCTTACTGTCATGCTTCAGACTGTTCTATGCAACATGCAGGTTCTCCCCCCAGACCACTCTTTCCCCACAATTCTACTGTAGGGACCACATTTGAGCAGTAAGTCTTGAGGCACAAAGACAGGAGCTGCACAGGGATGTGGCTGGGACCTGGGCCAGCTCAGGGGGACCAGAATGCAGCTCAGGTGGATTACCTCGCAGACGCCACACCGCCGGCGTTTAAAGGCGTTCTCTTTGTCCTCCCTGTCATCCTTTTCAATCTGCTCTKCGAAGAAAGTGTCAAAGATCTGGTAGACTAGTTTGGTGGTGGTGGCTTTTGTGGGTCCTTTATCCTTCTCCTTGGCAGGATGCCTGATGGTCTGACGTCTTTCGGCTCGCCTAAGGGAGAAGCGTCTACCATTTTATGTGACCGGGACACTGGACACAGGAAACTGTCTCAGTCTCAGCTTCTCACTTCAATTCCCGCTACACCCTTACCTTTGTCCCAGGGTGACCCCTGCCAACTTGATGAGGTCTCTCATACAGGGAGTCAGGAAGATGGGCTGCTCGTCACTGTCCTTGGCGTCATCATAACTCTCTACCTGGCTCACCACAAACTGGGCGTGTCGAAGGAGAGAATCCTCTGTGAACCGATTCAAGTTGATTGTAGAAGGGGGAACCGTGGTCTTGGAAAAAGATAAGAAAGGCGGATGTTTCCAACTTTTTTTGTGGTGCAGGGGATGGAAGCCAGGTCCCTGCACACACTAGGTCAGACTCTAGCCCCAGCTCTGGTATCCTCATAGAACAGGCAGCTTCTGCTGATTCTGGAAGTTGATGCGAGTGTTCAAGCAACGACCACAGTGGGTGCCAACTGGACTGAACCCAGATGATGCAGACCACAACCCTCTTACCTCAATCTTGTTGATCAGGTCTTCATAGGTCGCATCAGGGTTGCCCTGGAGGAATTCCACTACTATCTTGCTGATGTAGATTTTCTCCTGCATCAGCCCAAATATTGGGGCATACTCTGGGCTGGGTTCCATCAGAATGTATTCGGCAAATGCTGGCAGGAACACATGATTTTGTTAAAAAACAAAATGGAATGATCAAATTGAGGTAATTATCAGCACCTCCATCTCAAACACTTATTATTTCTTTGCAAAGATGTTCTTTTTATTTCATTTGGTTTTCAAGAGATGGGAACCTCGCAATGTTGCCCAAGCTTGGTCTCACTGACCCTTCCTGCTTCAGTCTCCCATGTAGCTCAAACTGTGTGTGCCATCATACCTGGAATGTGACATTTTAAAAAGCAGTTTAAACCTGATGGCACTTACACTGGGAAAAGGGCAGTAATACAGTTTAAAAGTCATTCCACATCCAAATAAAAAGTATAGCACATCAGCTCATCCTAAAGAGGCTTGTCTGGGCTGGCTAGAGAATGAAGATGAGCTAAGCTGGTGTTCAGTGAGCTTGTTCCTGGTTTCTGGAGTGTGGTCTGGGTTTGAGTTGCCAGAGTAAGACTTGTATTCGGGCACAGTGACAATGCTTGTAATCCCAGCAACCTGGGAGGCTAAGGTCCTATGCAACTTAGCACGAACCTGTCTTAAAACAAAGGGCTAGGGATGTGATTCGGAGTAGAGCCCCTCTGGTTTCAGTCCCCACTAAGAAAAAAAGAATAAGACCTGCCTTTAAAACTAGAGGGGCAAGCCAGATGCAGTGGTGCATGTCTAATCCCAGCGGCTAGGGAGGTTGAGACAGGAGGATTGAGATTGCAACTTAGCAAGGCCCTAAGCAAGTCAGTGAGACCCTGTCTCTAAATGAAATACAAAATAGGGCTGGAGATATGGCTCAGTGGTCGAGTGATCCTGGGTTCAATCTCCGGTTCCAAAAACCCCAAAAACTAGAGGGTCAGTTCCAAGGCCAGAGATTAACATGAGAGGCCAGAGATAACATGACGCACATAAACGAGCCATGGTTGAGCAGGGCTCTCCAAGCCTGCCAAGACTTTCTACTAGAGTAGAATCAACCCCCAGGAAGGGCAAGAGCCAAGGCCCCTTCAGATTCAGAACATCCTGAGATTGGTCCGACACTTACAGGTACTGAAGCCGATGAGTGCCTTTTCACCTCCATCAAAGCCAGTGATCCACCATTCATTAATGGGGCCAAGATTCTTGCCATTAACACCACCTGTGAGAGGAAGAAGTTTTCCAATAAGAAACTAAATAAGCACACTGACTCATAGGACCCAAGAAAGCTATGTGAGGCTCTAAGGACCCAGCTCAGTTGATGTTTCTTATTAGCTGGGGGCATAGGCCTCATCAGGGTGACTTTGCTTTCACTGGGCAAGGCAGAGATCCAAACTCTAACTGTAAGGGGCAGCAGTTCAGTGGACTATTGCTTTGAAGTGTTTTGCATTTGGTTTTAAACCATCACACCCAAACACAACCCTGAATCATAACACCTACCTTCAAGAGACGGATTATCATCATAGATTGGTTTTGCTGTACCAGAAAAGAGAAGCTCCACGTTCTTCTCGATGAGGCCAGTGTCAATCGGGCACAGGTGACCTCGCTTACAGTACACACTATGGGCAATAAAGGGAGGCTCAACAGATGACCAGGGAAGGCAGGTCATCACTTATGATTAGAATCGGGCATAAAGCAATGGACAAGCACTAGACTTGGTTATCTTTTCGGCTGCCAGAACTTAAGATTAGTACCATGTTCTATCACCCATGGCATCTATCCAATCCCCTGACCTATGTCAAAGTGACACTGAGGTGAGACAGTGGGAAACTGGGTGTGGTGTGCATGCCTCTAATTCCAGCAACTCAAGAGGCTGAAGGAGGACAATTGCAAGTTTAAGTCCACCCTCAGCAACTTCATGAGGCTTGGCTCAAAATGAATAAAGGACTGGGGATGTAGCTCAGTGGTTAAGTTCCCTGGGTTCCATCCCTAGTACAAAAAAAAAAAAAAAAAAGACTGACAGTGGGAGAAACACTGGCTTCTAGAACAGACTACTTGCTCGCCACACTGCACAATGACCCGTCTAGCTCTAAAACATTTCCATTACCCAAAATAAAACCTTGTACCCATTAAGTTGTCGCTCTCTATTCCCTCAAATCCTTAGGAATTGCAATTTACTTTATTCCTATAGATTTACCTATTCAGGATGTTTTGTACTATATATAGTTAATTTGGGTTATGTGAATCACTTCAAGAAAATTAAGCTGGGCATGATGGTCAGGCATGTAATCCCAGCCTCTTGGGAGACTGAGGCAGGAGGATCACAAGTACAAGGTCAGCCTAAGCAACTTAGAGACACCCTATCTCAAAATAATAGAAAATACTGGGGATATAGCTCAGCAGTATAGTACACCCAGGTTCAAATCCTGCTACCAAAAACAAAAATTCCACAACTTAAAGCAGGTTATAGAACAGATGAAAAGGGAGAATGTGTCATGTAGGGAATGCCTTGTGCCTCTTGTTGGGGGTTCAATCTCAACCATAAAATGGGCATCCACATTTCTGCTCAGACACCCCTTGACATTTAGGGGCAAGTTCTTCCRTAAGTGAGGAATCAGAAGAGGGCAAACTTCAAAACTTTATTTGCAGCACTGGGACTTCAACAGAGCATCTGCCTGGCATGCTGGATCCTATAACACTGAGCTCCGCCTCGGCCTCTCGCAATATTTCTGCAGTCCTAGAGACTGGCCCCGCCTTGCATATGCCAGGGCTCTACCACTGAGCTACGCCCCAGTCAGAACTTTAAGTAATAAAAAACTAAACACCCAGAATTGAGCCTGGCACCATGGACAGACTCCACAATCCCGCCCTCAGGACTTAAGATCCAGTGGAAAGACATGGACAGAATGTATCAAAGGAGGGCCACAGGAGGGAAAGATCAGTCCCCGGCCTGACAGGGTCTCTCTCCATAGAGGCAACACTGGAGAGGACTTCGTCTCCAGGCAGGGATAAAACCCAGACTCCCAGGCTGGACCCTGCCTGTGACTTGTTTCCATCACATGCAGAGTCCCTGAACAACCCAGACAGTCTGGTTCCAGGGAAGCATGTCCTCAGTACCACCCCCCCAACAAAAACAGGTTGACAGAAACCCCTGACTGCAGCAGACAGCAGTGGCATTCAAGCCTGCACTAGCCCCCATCCTAGCTCAGACGGACAGTTTGTCATCTGTCAACATCTGGGGCTCTTCCAGCTGAGGGACATGGGACCAATAAGTAGAAGCACATGAGGTGCGAGAGAAAAAGATGACAACAGTGCTGGAACTCACCGCATCAGGGGGTGCTGCTCATACTTGAGGTCAACATAAGGAGGCCCTCAGGCCTGACCCTATGCTGTGTCTGCCCCAGCAGGCTTCACTCAAGCCCACCAGAGATCTGGTACCCTACTTTTGGCCTGGCCCTGAGGCTTGCTGGAAGCCAGACAGCCTCCTGACGTGGATCAGGATCACAGTGGTAGGGAAGGAGAAGGGGAGGAGGCATGTCAACCACAGAAGGCATATGGAGTGAGGTTGCACATAAATGGATCTTGTCCAAGCCAGCAGGAGAATCCCAGCCTGGGAAGGGGTGTGGTTCCAGGAGCTATGTCCACCTGAGACTTCTAATGGGTACTCCTGAGGGGCTCCCCACCACCAGAAATAGTCTCCAAGGCCTGGGCCCCATTGCCATGTAGGCCATACCAGACTAACACCCTCCACAGCCAGCACAGGCCCACCCGAGCCCTTAGGCAYGCCACCTCCACCCCAGCTCTCCCCAGAGTTCTCTTGTGACCAAGGAACTTATTCAAGGTATCACCCTCTAAACAGAGGATCTTTCTTCCACCTGTGTTCATCAGGCTTTGAAATTTGTCATAGTTGTTACAGTTTGAGAGAGCATCACTAATCCAAAATCCCAAAACACTGAGCATCAACACAACACAAGTGGAAATGTGCACCCCTGACCCTGTGTAAAGCAGATGCACTGAAATGCCTGCCATATAAAACATGTGAAACAAGTGAATGTCATGTTTAAGTTTGGGCCCCATCCAAGAAATCTCATGTACATGTAAATATTCTAAATAAATAAAATAGAAATCTAACACTTCTGACCAAGTGTTTCAGATAGGGAATGTTCAACCTATACCCAGCAGGTGTCACTGATATTGTCTCATGAAGACTAGGACTTGATAGGACCTAGATCAGCACCCAGCACAGAGCTGACCTTCAAGATGGATACAGACTGCAGACTTAATATGTACAGATGTTAAGAACCAAAATACATAACTGATATACCTGGGCAAGGTCTACTATACCTCCACCAGCTTTGTGCTCTTACCCACAAATGGTTAGCAGCTTGAGAAACGTTGCAGGTTAGGTGTTAAGGACTTCTCCAGGATAGCAAGAACTTGATTTCAGAGACATGACTTAATATAATGAGGCAAACACCCACATGCAAGCACATCAGTTACCTGAAGTATGTCAGTTTGTGTTGGGGAAGATCTTCGTAACTCCCAAAGCCAGATCCATTTTCATCAAAGATGGACAGTTTCTCATTTGTCAACATTTGGGGCTCTTCCAGCTGAGGGACATGGGACCAATAAGCAGAAGCACACAGGAGGTGTGAGAGAAAAGGGTGACAAAAGTGCTGGAACTTACCGCATCAGAGGGGTGCTGCTCATACTTGAGGTCAACATCATCCAGGAACTGCCCGCATTCGTTGCACTTGGGTGGCTGAACCTGTGGGAACAGAACAGAAATGGCCTCAGAGGCAGAGGGAGCAACCCTCACGGCACCACAGCACCTGCCTCATTCCCACGTGTATGTTTACCTTGGGGTTCAAAAGGGTTTTGTTCCGAGTCATTTTTTTCTCAGCTCTGGGAATAAAGCACAAAACTGATTGCACTTTAATCAATTCAGACTATATCAAAATCCACCCTGTCAGACTGAAGCCTAATCCACCCCCCAACCACAGACACCAGCTGCCACAGTAACTGACGAGGCACCAGGTCACAAGTGGTTCTTTACTGCCTAGAGGAATCCTGCTCCAGGCTGCAGAACTGGAGTATCCTGGTCCCCAACCCAACTCAATGGCTAAGGTTGCTCCAGCACCTCAAAGCTACTTCCTTCTAGAAGACCTGTCTTTAACATTATGATCTGCTTCATATAAACAAAAAAATTCTTACGGTTCTTTGGGTGTAGTTTTTCGTCTTTTTTCCTCCTAAATACAAGAGACAAAAGCAGAATAAGAGTAAGAAAGAAAAAAAAAATAGAGTAAGAAAGAATTCTACATCTGGATGGGGCTTCCGAGTTGAGAATTCCATATATAATTATCAAAAAACTTATGCAATGGGGAATAAAGTAATGAGAGGAACAGGAGATAAGACCCGACTCATCCCAGTGCCCAAATCTTACAAAAGTCTTATAACCAAAGACTTCCTCAGGAGTCCCAAGGAGCCAACTTAAAACAAACCCTAGCTTTCTTGTACAAGTGGTATCTAGGAAAGTAGCTGAACTGTGTCCCCTCCAAATTCTAACGTTAACCCATTCAGCCTCAAGTTATTAATTCTGTGAATAATTCAGTAAAATTGACACAAGTATATTAAAATAGATTTAAAAGTCATAACCTAGAGCTTATATACCCTGTATTTTTTCCCATGTGTGAAATAAAGAGTATTATATTCATATGCTCTTACCAGTCACCTATTACTCAAAATAGTAAAAAATAGTCCCTTAAAACATTTCAAAATTAGCATAACTAGACTATTTGTTGCATAATTTAAATTTTCCTAGGTGTTCTACTTCTGGGACTATGGGACGAAACAAGTTAAAACCCAATAAGGTGCCAACTATATTCAGGTTTTTTTGGGGGGCAGCAGGGATTGAACTCAGGGGTACTTGATCACTGAGCCACAACCCCAGCCTTATTTTGTTTAGACACAGGATTTCACCGAGTTGCTTAGAGCCTTACTATTGCTGAGGCTGGCTTTGAGCTCACAATCCTCCTGCCTTGGCCTTTGAGCTGCTGGGATTACAGGTGGGCACGACCATGCCTGGCCAGAGACATGGCTTTTAAGGAGGCAACTGAGGTTAAAGGTATGAGTGATGTCCTTATAAAGGGAAAGGGACACCAGAGCCCGCTCTTTAGGTGCCAGTCCAGAGGAAATCCACATGAACACAGTGAGGGGGCAGCTGTATGAACCAGAGAAGCCTCACTAGAGACTATCCCTAATACCACCACCTTAACTTTTTACTTCTAGCCTCCAAACATGGAGCAAATATATGTCAGGTTTTTTTTTAATTGATTTTTTTAGTTATAGGTGGACACAATCTATTTTTATGTGGTGCTGAGGATCAAACCCAGTGCCTCATGCATGCTAGGCGAGTGCTCTACCTCTGAGCCACAGCCCAAAGTCAGTCATGTGAGCTGCACAATGTGTTATGGCAGCCTGAGCAAACTCATCGTAGGGAAATTTTTAGAGTGGGTTCAGGTAAGCCAGGTGTAGTAGCACACACCTTTGATCCCAGCAGGAAGCTGAAGCAAGAGAATCACAAGTTCAAGTCCAGCCTGGGTAATAATGTAGCAAGAGAGCCTAAAGATAAAATTTTTGAAAGGGCCAGCTATGTAGCTAAGAGGTAGAACTCCTGCCTAGCATGTGCAAGGTTCTGGGTTTAATCCCCAGTGCTGCCAAAAATAAGGCAAGCAAAGGACTTAGATTACTGCCACTTTGCAACTTTTGGCAAAAATCATGGTTGCAATGACAGTTCAAAACAGTGAAGACAGGGCTGGGTTTGTGGCTCAGTGGTAGAACACTTGCCTAGCATGTGAGCACTGGGTTTGATCCTCAGCACCACATAATAAAGGTCCATCAACTAAAACAACAACAACAAAAAAAAACAAGCACACCCACTGAGGACTTGGCAGGTAGCTCAGTGATAGAAGGCCCTGTGTTTGATCTTCAATAGGGAAAAAAAAAAAAAGGTCAAAAGGTGAAGGGTCTTTATAATGGATGGATCAGGCTGATGCCATCTGAGCCCAGGATCAATCTCATCCTTGAGACACCACTGTGCTTACCAAGGTGATACTGCAAGAAGCATATAGCACCACCTCCTATAGCACCACCTCCTAATAAGTTCTCTAAAGTTAACAACCTGCATCTAGCCAAGCAGCCTGAAGGAGATAGGGTTGAAGAAGATAAAAACTGGTAAAATCTAGAACCTAGGACACTATAGATAAGAAATTTGTTCAATTTCTTAGTTAAGAAATTTGCAGACCAGGAAAACTAGAGGTTTAGGACAAATCTCAACCAAATACAATCCTGTATTGCATAACACCTTGACTGATGGACCCATGAGACCACCGTCTGTCACCTGCTGATGTCACATAGCCATCTTAGTTTGTGTATGTACACTCGTGTTCACACCATGACAAAATCATGTAAGGAATCATTTCCCAGAATATATCCCTGTCATTAAGCAATACATGATTGTACATTGTCTAGATCTTTGGGCCTATGATTCAAACTCTGAAAATAAGAGACAACCAGGGAAATTCGAACACAGACTAGATATATTACCTGATGTATGATAACACCCTATGATCATGTTTAAAATGAGTTCTTCCTTTGAGATTTCTCCTGTACTATGTCTAACTTATGCAACATCACGTAGGACAAGGTTTGGGTAAACTTGCATGGCCTTAGCTGCTATCTGCTAAAGACTGAGAATGAGTATGTAGAGATTTACTACCTTTGGTCTACTGGGTATGTTTGAATATTTTCATAATAAATGCAAGTTAAAAATTTTTTTGCAAAGTGCTAGGAATTATATCCAGGACCTGGTACATGCTAGGTGAGTGCTTCCCCCCCAATACCTAAATAAAATCCCATTTTTTAAACATTTAGTCAATGGACTTTATGAAATACAATGAGATTGAAAGCATGACCTTTACCTTTTCATCCTCATCTCTCTCAGACATTTGTGGAGTTACTTGTTCAGGTTCTTTTTCGTCAGGTCTCCGTTTGGCAGCTCTGTTGGGTGGAAAAATATGTATCAAATATTAGCTCAGAAAAACTTGTGCCGAATGACAAAATAAGGCCTCCCTATTGAAAAGCAAATGTTCATGGGGCTCTGAAGCAGACTGCTAACTTGTCACCATAAAACAAGGCCCACAGAAGCCCCCACAGATGTGGCCCTGAAGGAAGTACTGGAAGTTGAGACACAACTGTGCCAGATTCAGGAAAGGGCGGGCACAGGATGACTTGGCACCCAGCCCTGCGCATCGGCACTTTCCTTCCAAAATCAACCATTCCCCATGACTCCTGTATCATCCCAGGTTCTAGAACAGAGGTTTTAATAATTGGGATGACAGGGCTGGGGTTGTGGCTCAGTGGTAGAGCACTTGCCTAGCATGTGTGAAGCCCTGGGTTAGAGTCTCAGCACCACATATAAATAAAATAAAGGTCCATTTACAACTAAAATATATATATTTAAAAAAAAAATTGGGATGACAAACAAGCATTTTAGTTACTTACAGGTCTTTGGACTGACTTCTAGACCTCCTTTCATCCTAACAAGGAAAGGGGAGAGAGAAATAAAGGGAAAAATTAGTTTGAGACAGATAGCAAGATGAAATTCGATACCAGAAAACAGGCTAAAGCCTTCTGCACTACAGAGCCAGAGAACAGGAACAGCACGGGCAGGACTACAGGGTGAAGATGAAGCTTTAAATATTTACTCCCCAGTTTCCCCAACCTACCAATAAGCAGGTACTAAAGAATCTTCTATAACAACCAACACATACCCCTGCAAACAAATTGCCTAGACCAGGGGTTGATGACCTGCTTCTGTTAAGGGTCAGGTATTTTCAGTTTTGTAAGCCATGGGGTTTGTGTCACGACTATCCTTCCTGCCAATGTACCACAAGAGCAGCCGCAGAAAGTATGAATAGAGATGTGGCTGCATTCTAAGAAAAGTTTACAAAAAACAGGCAGTGGGCTGGATTTGGCCTGCTAGCCATACCCTGCCAACTTCTGTCCTAGGAGAGTTGAGTGTAATGGGGAATTTGTGGACATTTTGCTGATGTTGTCCAGAAAGGCTAAAGTCCCACCAGTCCTCTGGTAAGTGGTTAAGACTTTTACAGACATTGGGATAATAATAAAAGGAATGGGGTTTCAGAAAAGATTGAGAAAAAGCAGAAATTCCAGGCCAGTGCAATGGAACACTACTAATTCTGGCAACGCAGGAGGCAGAAGCAAGTGGATCACAAATTCAAGGCTGGCCTGGGCAACTTAGCAAGACCCTGTCTCAAAACAATAAAAAAGGCTGGGGATGTAGCTCATTGATAAACTGCYTTGGATTCAATCCCTACTGCTAACAAAAAAAAGCAGAATTTCCCAACTCTGTTATTAACTTACATGGACAATCTAGTATTTTGTGAGGCTGTGTATAATAAAATACCTTACTAGGGGGCTGGGGTTGTGGCTCAGTGGAGCGCACTTGCCTACCAAGTGTGAGGCACTGGGTTCGATCCTCAGCACTACATAAAACATAAGATAAAGGTGTAGTGTCCTTCTACAACTAAAAGTTTAAAAAGCCACATGTTTGATCCTGACATCCCTTTCTACCAAGGGACAAAAAGTCCAACTGAGGATAGAGTGTTTATACTTCTATTGTCTCTCCCTTCTGAAGGGATTTCAGGCAAACACTGATGGAAATGCAACCCATATCTGGACAGGAAAGGAGAGAGGCAGTGAGACATCACAGCCCACTGGCGGCCATACCTACCGGCTCATGTGCCACGGGACAAAAATAGGGAACCATTGCCAACCAGCTCATGACCCAGTAAGGCTGTGACTTTGGGCTTCACTCTAGATCTCAACAGGCAGAAAAACCACATGGGTAGCCCTGAGACTACCCAAGTTTGTGATTCCCTATTAGAGGGGCAGAGGCCTGCAGCCCCCAGCACACAGCCTGTCCCTCTTGCTTAAAGCTCAGGTAGAGGATAGTACTGTCAGCCTACACTTTCAGAGGTCAAGCCCCAAGAACTAGGGGCCCTCCTTATCATCTGATCCATCCAACTGGGGACGGAAGATGCTCAGGATTTTCCTATCCTTAACATGAACACACTGTTCTTGTCATTTCCTAAATACAGTGTAACAGCCAGTCGGGCACAGTCACGTATGCCTGTAATCTCAGCAACTCGGGAGGCTGAGACAGGAGGATCGCAAGTTCAAAGCCAGCCTTAGCATCTTAGTGAGGCGCTAATCAACTCAGTGAGACCCTGTCTCTAAATTGGTCAAGTGCCCCAAGTTCAATCCTTGGTACAAAAAAAAGTACAGTATAACAACTATTTACATASCATTTATGTTGTATTAGGCAGCATACATAATCTAGAAATGATTTAAAGCATACGGGAGGATGTGTGTAGTTTGCAAATATGTCATTTTGTGTAAAGGACTTGAGCAGACTTTGGTATCAGAGGGTTCTGGCACCAATCCTCGGAAAAAACTAGGGAACAACTATTTGTGTGTGTGTGTGTGTGGTTTTTTTTTGGTGTGTGTGTGTGTGTGTGTGTGTGTCTGATTCTAGGCATTGAACCCTAGGTCACTCCACCAGAGAGACATCCCCAGCACCCCCTCCCTTATTTTTATTTATTTATTTATTTTTACTTTGAGACAGGATCTCACCAAGTTGCCCAGGCTGGCCTAGAATCTGCAATCCTCCTGCCTCAGCCCCTGTAGGGGCTAGGTTTCAGGCATGTGCCACCACACCCAGCTTGTTCTAGGTTTTAAAAATGCTTCTTTGGCCGAGTAGGAGGCAGGGAGGCTGGCTGGGGAGCAAGAAGAGAACTAGGCTCAGAAGGATTTAACAGGCAGGCTGGTAAAGGAGAACTTGCCGAACTGAGCTGAGCACAGATCAAGACTTTTGGGTGGAAAAGGCCTCAAGAGAAGCAGGTTGCACACCAGTCTCAGTCTAGAAACACAGGCTCTCCAACATGGTGCAGAGACAGAACAGCAATGCTCACTATGTATCAGTGCAGACATGTGACACTGATCCGACAGATTAAGTTGCCCAGAGTCATCCCACAGTATGTGGGGCTGGGTTTGAATCCCAGAGCCATGCCCTGTACTGTTTCCACCAAACAAACAGGAACATGAGAATAGATAATAAAGATTTTGCCTTGGGCTGGGGTTGTGGCTCAGTGGTAGAACACTCGCCTAGCACTTGCGAGGCCCTGGATTCAATCCTCAGCATCACATAAATAAAGGTACTGTGCCCATCTACCACAAAAAATATTATTTAAAACAGAAAAAAAATTTGCCTTTACTCGCTTATCTCCTTCCGCTTCATTGCGAGTCCCTGGTCTGGCTTCTCCATCCAGCTCCTCCTCCAGTTTCGGTATAGGTGTTCTGTCACATAAAACAAAAGATTTGTCAGTCAGCTGGGGAGCTAGGGCTACTTCAGGCAGCCCCACGGAAGGCTTACAGTGGTCTCCTTCCTAGATTCAGGGCACAAGCCACCTCTTATCTGCACTGTGGGAAATCCAAAAGGCACCAGTTACTTTGGAACTTAAGATCTTCAAAAATACTGCTTCATGAGTTTTTTGGTGTTAGGAACTGAGCCCAGAGCCTCCACCACAGAGCTCTAGCCCAGCCCTGCACAGAATATTGATCAGAGATGGCAGTGAACAACAGACAGGGGGCCTCCACTACCTAGACCCCATGGGAGCTCTGCCTGTGGTGGAAGAAGGTGGGCATCTAGCCTTTGGAGCTAGGCTGAGTATGGTATGCACCAGCAACTATAGTAAACTGGCTATGTAAGGGATCAGAGTCTCTCCACCAGGGACCTGCACTTGGATGGGGTACTCAACCCACCTCTGGACTCAGGTCCTTCATATGGGACATCAGAAACTTGAGAAAGTGCTACAATTCTCACTGTACCATCATGCTCTACCCCTGTCATGAGAGTGTGCCCAGGTTGGCCTATTCATGGGGCAGCTGGGGCAGCCCCATCAGTCCCGGTAAACCTCAGCCACCTAACAGCTGTTGAGCTGGATAAGTGCCGTTTTAAGCAGCTGAGCTTCTGGGAGGGTTGTCACTAAGCACTATCAGAGCAAGATAATCAACACAGCCTCTGAGGCCTCTGGCACCACATGACAGCCTGTTTAGGACCACCCTGAGGGCAGGCCAGGGTCAGAAAACATCCCAGGTGACTTTAGCCTTCCCTGCAGTGATCTGAACTTCACAGGCTGGAAGTCCTGCACCAGCGTTCAGCACTCTAGTCATCGCACTGAAACCCTCACGTTAACAGGTGTCAAAGCACAAAGGCAAGTTAACTATACTTACGGTTCTTTGGTTTGACTTCTGAGTCTCCTCTCTTCCTAAGGGGGAATAAAAAGAGTAATTTTTCCATGTGGTCCTGATCTTTATGTTCTATGGAAACAGCCTACCTAAACTGGTCCTATCATCTATTTGGTAGGAGTAAAAACTATCTGCCTTTAAGACAATTTTTCTTGCCCCTTCTTTTTGATAGGGCAAATGGCAGGACAATAAGGAAATTTTTACAGACTAGATCCTGTAACACTGTAGTTTAAGCCAAGAGTCCCAGCTACTTGGGAGGCTGAGATAGGAGGATCATTTGAGCTCAGGAGTTTGAGACCAGCCAAGTCAACAAAGAAACACCATCTCAAAAGAAAATTAAGAATTTTTTTCTTTTTGGTAGTACTATAGATGAACCCAGAGCCTCACCCATGCTAGGAAGGCATCAGCCTCTGAGTTACATCTCTAGTCCAAGAAGGCAACTTTGTATCAGGATGATGCTATAGAATGTAAGGACCTCCCATGTTTAAAACGTCTTCACAAAGACTGAAGGCAGGCAAGTAAGGAGACAGATAAGCTCTGTGACCAAGTAACCAAGGTCCAGCTGGCCCCCTAGGTCTGCCACTGAGGTYTTACCATCACAACTTATGACATACTTTCCTTATGGACAGTTGGGGAGTGTTGAGTGTCTTGACCAAATTAAGGCTATTAGATTATTCATGACACTCGCTCTGTATTCGTACATTGCCCATTCCCTGCCCTCATGCCTGGAACCAGGGGGGACTTGAGATCACAGTAGAATTAAAAAAAAAAAAAAAAGGGTAACAAGGTATTACTCCTCTTTCTTCCTCTTCAGTGTCAGCATGTGTTCCTGGTGTCGCCGTTTCCGGTTCTGTTGCACTAGGTTCAGCAACTCTGTTAAGCAAAATAAAATACAGCAACTGGGACTTATACAGGTTCATTTCCCTGAAGTTATTTCATAAAATCTCCAAGCCCCAAAGGGTAATATTCATTTTACATGTATTATTTGGTATTACCTTTAAATCCAGCTCTGATAAGGAAAACTGGTATTTTTCTTAATTTATTCTTTTCAATGGAGAATTTTACCTCAAATGGTTACTTATCTGWCCCAAAATTTAGCATCCTTAACAGGTCTATTGTTGCTAGGGAAACTCACTATAAACTCCACTTTTCAAACTTTCTGGGAGGTGAAACAACACAAACAAAAAGAAAGGTATAATAATTATTCTTACGATTCAGTGGCTGTAACTCTACGTCTCTTCTCTTCCTGTAAACGTCTCTTCTCTTCCTATGGGGAGGGAAGGAGGGAGAACAAAAAGACAAGAATATGGGATTCAAAGGAATATCAACACCAAAATCATGAGTCAAATTATCAAATAAACACACGTGATGTAGTTAAAAGCAGGGTGGAGCCGGGTGGCTCAGTGGTGGATGCTTGCCTAGCACGCGCTGGGTTCCATTCCTAATGGTGCAAAATAAAAGATAAAAACGGGTGGGAAAAGAGGGATGTCTAGGTTAGGGGCTATCTGGGAAACTGTCAGTCTTACTTCAATGCCCCATAGCTCCCCAAACCAAGTCAAGGCCAGGAGTTAGGCCAATACATGTCTGATTCCTAGAGACTGCCTAGGGATGCTATAGGAGTCAGATTCTCTCAGGTCAGCAATTCTTCAGTACTRGGATAAAACAAAGTGGAAGTTTGGGATTCATATCAGGAAGCAACTGTGACTGCCCAGCTAGGACATTAGTTCCTTTCTCAGGTGGATGCACTAGTGTACTGTTTCCCTAAGGTCATGAGATTTTCCATCTCTAGGTTAACTGTTCATTTAACTTAAAAAGGGATAAAAATAGTGATGAGGAGGCTGGGAATGTAGTAATGGCATAGTGTTTGCTAGCATGAAGCCCTAGGTTCCATCTTCAGCATCAAAGAAAAGTTACAATAAAAACAAATCTAAACCCTATTTGACAACTAAAGAGTTTGGAGTATATGCCAGCAGTACAGCACTTGCCATGTGTGCATAGACTCTGGGTTGAATCCCATAAACACCAAAATTATATTATATATATATATATATATATATATATATATATATATATATGCCTGTGATAAAGCTGCATGTAATGATACATGTTTCCATACAAGTATGAAAACTGATACCATCTGAATAGTCTGTACCCTGTACCAATGTTAATTTCCTGAGGGTTTGTTGCCATTTGTACCTAACAGTCTGAGATGTTATCATTGGTGAAAAGTGGAACATAGGGTATACGAAACATCCGTGTACTATCACAAGGAACATTTATATGAAACATCTGATTAGGAGTACACATAAAATTCTGGGGATGGGATGTAATTCAATGGTAAAGTACTTGCCTAGCATGTGTGAGGCCCTCACTTCGACCAACACCAAAATTAAGTTTTTGCCTCCAGATGCTTTTAGACTCAAACTGCAACATCAATTCTTCCTGGGTCCTCCAGCCTACCAGCCTATCCTACAGACACCAGCCTGTCCTTTCAGTTTCCACCATTTTTTTTTTGTGTGTGTGTGTGTGTGTAGATGGACAAAATCTTTATTTTTATGTGGTGCCGAGTTTCAAACCTTGATTCACTCATGCAAGGCAATCACTCTACCACCAAGCCACAATCCTGGTCCCAGCTTCCAACCATCTTTGAGCCAAAGAATCACATAACTTTCTGACATTTTATATGTCCATATATCATATGTATCAAAACACACACACACAGCTGTTGCTTCTCTGGAGAACCCCAGCTTGACAGTATGAACCACATGCTAGGTTATCTAAGCATATATCGATTCTGAACTCTAATTTTTGTGTGATGCCTGTATTACCTGGTCTTTGTCTTCCTCAGAGTCACCTGAATTTGTTCTTTCAGGTTCTTCCTCAGGTTTCCGTTTAGCAGGGCTGTCACACAGAATCAGGCAACTGTTAGTTCAGAGAGACCCTTGCCCTCCAGTGGGCCCAGAATAACTTGTGGCCCTCCTTCCCAAAAGGACTAAGCCTAATGCAGGACCTAGATGCCTTCTTTCCTCCCAGGAGAGATCCTTATTGGCAGGATGTTGAAAGAGGCTTAAATTTAATATTTCTTTGACAGATTTAGGATAATTCCATTTTGCATGTAAGAAATCATGCCATCTAAATACTGAACAATGGCTGCTAATGTCACAAAGAGAAGAGACACACACACCTGATACACAGTACCATCTATAGAGAAATCAGCCTCGAGGCTGGGGCTGTAGCTCAGTGGTAGAGCTGGGTTCGATCCTCAGCACCACATAAATAAAAATAAGTATATTGTGTCCATCTAAAACTAAAAATATTAAAAAAAGAAACCAGCCGCAAAGAATAAAAAGTAGCTGGGCACGGCAATATACACCATAATCCCAGCAACTTAGGAGGCTGAGACAGAAGGATTCCAAGTTCAAGGTCAGCCTCAGCAACTTAGTGAGACCCCCATCTCAAAATAAAAAGGGCTGGGGTGGATCTCAGTGGTAAAACATCCCTGGTTTAAGTCTTCAGTTAAAAAAAAAAGTTATGCTAGGTATATAGCTCAGCAGTAGCATACTTGCCTAGCATCCCTACAGGCCCTGAGCTTAATCCTCAGCAGAGGGAAAAAAAAATTGTAAAAGGCATGAAACAGTATATTGTTTTTATGTTGGATGACATGTTTGGGATTTGTTTCAAAGTGATAGTTAGGTTATGAAACAATAGCCATTTGTAACTGGATGAATGAGTATTCAGGAGTTCACTGTACTATACTCTAATTTTGTGTATATTGAAATTTTCTGTAAAAACAAAAGTAGATGAATTCTTCAGAAATGTTGTTCATGCCAGGCGTGGTGGCACATGCCAGTAATCCTAGCAGCTCAGGAATATGAGGCAGGAGGATCACAGGTTCAAATCCAGCCTCAGCAGTGGCAAGGTGCTAAGCAACTCAGTGAGACCCCATCTCTAAATAAAATACAAAAACGGTTGGGGATGTGGCTCAGTGGTCGAGTGCCCCCGAGTTCAATCCCCAGTATCCGCCCCCCAGAAAAAAGCTGTTATTAGGGCTGGGGTTTTTTGTTTTGTTTTGTTTGTGGCTCAGTGGTAGAGTCCTTGCCCAACATGTGTGAGGCACTGGGTTTGATTCTCAGCACCACATAAATAAAAAGTGTATCGATAACTAAAAAATACCTTTAAAAATGCTGTTTATGAATGTCAACAAAAACTGCAAGATGAAAACCTATGCAGGGGCTGTAGCTCAGGAGGAGAGCACTTGCCTAGCATATACCAGGCCCTGGATTCCATCTCAGCACAGTGCAAAAAAATGGGGGGGAAAAAATCTATGCAACATAAAAGTTGGCACTGATAAATTATAAACTATTCCATTCATGTTTTACCAAAAGCCGTGCACCAAGAAAAAGTAGCAATCCATTCATTATATACTGACCCTTTTGTAAAATGAGATGTGATGGTGGTTTGCCTGGTTGTTCTCCTCGTAACCATGGGACTAGATGAAGCTTCAGCTGTTTGAGGGAAAAGAAAAAGTCACTATGAAAAGATAAGTCCACGCATGGCCCTAGCTATTACAGAAAGTCAGGTATTGAGGCTTAAGCATCCTGAGGTTTTAGATCCTAGTCAATAACCAGTGGGAGGACTGCAAATTCAAGGCTAGCCTCAGTAACTTAGAGACCATTTCAAAATAAAAAAAAGGACTGGGGATGCAGCTCCATGTAAAAGGCATCTAGGTTTAATCCCTAGTACCAAAAATAATTCAAAATATGTTTTTCAGCGAGTATGGACATTATAAAGTTGAAAAAGCCTGGAACCGTTGGAACTCGGGAAACATCTACCCAAGTCTAAGTTAGTTAGGAAGTACACACACACACACACACACACACACACACACACACACACAAAAAAAAAAAAAAACAACCCAGAAGTATTGGGGAGTAGCTCAGTGGTAGAGAGTGCACTTAGCATGTAGGAGGCCCTGGGTTCCACCCCCAACACGAAAAAAGAAAACAAGACGACGCTGCCCAGGGGTGCATGAGTCAAAGTCTGTGCCCTCGTGTGTATCATAACCTCCTCCAAGGTTGGAAATGAGCCAAGGGTTCTTACCCTTAGTCTCGCTATCAGACTTGCTTCTTCTGGGTCCACGAGGTTTGGAACCGGATTTGGGGGTGTTTGGTTCTGACATTTTCACTCTCCTGTCTGCACGGCTTGCTTGGCTCCCGTTTTCTAGATGGCCGTTCGTTTCTCGACTGACAGTGTGAGCTCCGTTCTCCAAGGACAAATCTTTATTTAAAAGGGATTTGACTTTAGCCAGGTAGCCCTCCTACAGCAGGAAAGGATAATTTAAGTAGCAGTGAATGTAAATAAATGGCAATAAGAACAAGGGAACAAATACATGTGTTTCCTTTACAATCATCAGGCAACAAGGAGCGGGGGTTTCTCCGACTCCTTGGTGACACACAAGTTACAGGGAGGAGATGTTTCTTCTGGTAGCCAAGAGGCTGGGAACTGACTTACCTCAGATAATTCTTCTTTATGTAATTTGGTTTCCAAATCACATAACTGATTCTTTATTTCTGTTTGCAGAAATTCATGCAAGAGATTCAATTTCTCCTTCACACACTCCTAAGGGAAGAATATATGTTCATCAGTCCCCAAACTCCCAAGATATTAACTAATGGGCTAATACACAAGTAACTGAACCACCTGGTCACATCACAATGACTGAACGGCAGGCAGCACTGTCTCAGCCAACACACTAAAAAAAACAAAACGGTCAGTTCTCCATATCCACAGGTTCTGCATCTAAGTATTCAACCATCCTCAGATGGAAAATATTCTTAAAAGAATTTCATCTGGGTTCGATGGAGTGGCACATGCCTGTAATCCCAGCAAGTCAGGATGCTAAGGCAGGACGACTGCAAGTATGAGATCAGCCTCAGCAACTAAACAAGACCCTGTCTCAAAAAAAAGGGGGGTGGTAGAAGGAAAGGAGAGGGAAAGTGCTAGGGAGTGTTGTTAGTGGCCAAATATTGTTATATTGTGTGCATGTACGAATATGTAACAAATCCCACCATTCTATAAAACTAATGTACCAATAAAAAATGTGAAAAAAAAAAGTGAACTGGAGATATTAGTGATAAAGCTCCCTGGGTTCAATCTCTAGTACCAACCCCCCCCCCCGCCGCCAAAAAAAGATTTTCTTGTCTTTATTCCCTAAACAATATAGCACAACAACTATGTACATAGCAGAGCATTAACATGACATTTGTCATCTCTAGATGACTTAAAAGTCATTTGAGCCCAGGAATTCAACAGTCTGGGCAAGCTAGTAAGACTATCTAAAACACAAAAAACAAAACAAAAAACCCCRCACTCTGGAGATTACCTTTTCCGTTAAGCTGTCTCTTTCCAAGTCTTTGAGCCTGGTGGAATAAAATAAGGGAGAATGAAAGACTCATGTAAAAACTTCATTTAGCTGTAAGAATACCACAATTTTAATGAATTTTGGAATTAAGCTTAAAATGATAGAACACAAATAAGGTGGCTTTCCCCCGTCCCCCACGATGTGTAGTGTGTGCTTCCACGATGCCTACACAAGAAGTCATTTGTGAACTGAGCAAAGCTGCCTTTTTTTTTTTTTAAAGAGTGAGAGAGGAGAGAGAGAATTTTTAATATTTATTTTTTTAGTTCTCAGAGGACACAACATCTTTGTTGTTATGCGGTGCTGAGGATTGAACCCGGGCCGCACGCATGCCAGGCGAGCGCGCTACCGCTTGAGCCACATCCCCAGCCCCCAAAGCTGCCTTTTTGAGGTTGGTTTTCTGGAGATAATGAGGACAACACAGGAACTCTAGAACAGAACAGATGTTATTTAAAAAGGTATCAGGCCAGGCATGAGACCAGCCTCAGCAACTTAGCAAGGCTCTAGGAATGGAGTAACACCCTGTCTCAACAAAGGCTGGGGATGTGGCCAGTGGCAGAGTGCCTCTGGGTTCAATCCCCAGTGTGCATACACGGTATTGGCAGCCAGGTTCCTTCTGTAAATTAGAAGACAGCTGGTCTGATCTTTCTCCAGAGCCCTTAAGGGTGTGCCAAAGTGGCCAGTGCTACAATGAGTGGACTAGGGTCACACTAAGGAACAGGCAGCGAATGTTCCATAGGCCAGAGAAGGTGGAACATTCTCATGGAGGAGCTAAATTGGAGGTCAAGGCATCTGAGCAGCGGAGTGCCCCACCCTGCCCACGGGAATTAGAGACCAAGTTAGGAGAGCGGGCTGGCTCCCCAAAAAGCTCATCCTTCAGAATACATGCACCTCATCCATATTTATCCCCGTTGTTCAGAAGAGCAGAACTGTCGAGTTTTGGTGGAAAATCTGATTATTGAAGACAGTGGCTTGCCATTGCTGTAGGGGATGGAGAAACTGAAGGAATGAAGACACCAAGGAGAGCGAGATGAGTGGAAAGGCTGTTGTCCCCAGCCAGTGCTGACTGCAGAGAGTGAGGTAAGAACAGGTCTAACCAGTTGGGTGGGTGACTGTCCATGGAGGGCACCCTGTGGCGGCACCAGGCCTCTGCCATCTCTGGATTCTCCCACCCAGCGCCACAAAGACTAGGTGCTCAGTTATCACTAGCCAAGGGGCAGAAATAGCTCTCCCTGCTGGCCTCCGCAGAGGCCTAGAACAAACAGCAAAGCCAGGAATTCGAGTGATGTGTCTGGCCTGACCACTGCCACACACTGGCTGCTGTGGGAGCAGTGTACTCACTTTCTTCAAGTGCCACTCATGTCTGTAGGCACCAACTGTATACCAGGCCCCAATTCCAGGCTGGGTGGCTGGATGGGTGCCACCAAGCAGGGACTTTCTGACTTGCTGGGTGGTCAGGAAAAAGACGCTTGGCTCACTGTGGGCACAGTGGTGATATACACTGTATGTTATATGGACTGTAACTTGGGCTTGGGAACCTTTGGAATAAAGACCTTCAGGAGCAAGGGCTGGGGTATGGCTCAGTGGTAGAGCACTTGCCTAGCATGCACAAGGCCCTGGACTCCACCCTCAGCACTGCAGGAAGAAGTGGGAGAATTCCAGAAACACGTGAAGCCCCTTGCAGGCAAAAATGTCTTCCTATTCCCATAGTGACTGTCCAGTGAGAGCCCGCGATAAGGACAGCTGTAGAAGTGGGCATTACCAGCCAGAGGGACACACGCTACTGCAGCAGCATTACTTTTGCCTTCTCGGTCACTTGGTTTCTTGTTTTGTTTGGGGCAGTGCTAGGGATCAAATCCAGGGACTCATGCATGGCGAAGTAGTACTCTACCACTAAGCTTCACTCCCGGCACTGGTCACTGTTTTCAAAGTGGCAGGACACAGCTTCTACCCTGACTAGCTGAACGGTGCCTGAATCCCGAGGTTATCCCAGGTATTAGGGACATGGCTCAAGTGACTGTACAGCCCACCAAGGTGCCCTTTTCAGCCATCTCTTGCACCTGGGCATTAAACAGACCTGCAGGTCTGAATTCTTTCAATCYTGCTATACACTGGGATATTTAGCCTGGCAAAGAGCAACACATCTTCACAGGGCGAGATGTTTTAAGGCATCTGAAGACTGCATTTATCCTTCCTGTCCCCAAAGTGAACCACAGCAGGATCCCAGGAGTTGGTGGGAAGGAAGCTGGCCGCTGGGTTCGGCTTTCCTCCCTGCCACCAGGCCTTTGCTTGAGTTGGTCCCTCCCCTAGTGACATTTATGCCATCCCATGCCCACTTGACAGTTATAACTAGGAGGATTAGAAATGGAGCAAGACTTAGCAGAGGACTCAACTCTATATAACCTTAGCTCTCTGCCCACCTGAGATCTCATGATTCATTCCCAATTGTATTCCTCAGAGATCAGTCATAAGAAATATAGAAAAAAATATGAAGTAAGGCAATACCCCACAGTCAACATCTGAGCACTTTCCCAGAGAAAGGGCAGTCAGGCCACCAAGGAGGGACTCAGGGCAACCAAGAGCTCTTTTTGACCTGGGCAGAGGGAGCTGCCCAAGCTAGAGCACCAGGGTACTGAATGTCACTCAGGAGACACCCAAGAAACAGACAAGCATACCAGGTCAGAAAGGCAAGACCAGGGAGTGAAGGCTGGTGACAGCCTGAAGGAGGTCAGGGATGTCAGGCTAAAAATCATGAGTTCTGTTCCCCAGTCAACAAACCAGAGGAATCACAAGGGAGGGAGAAACCATGATACCAGAGTCATGCTTTAGAAAAATTGATCTGGCAGAGGCACACTATAACCAGGTACAGGTGGAAAATGCCTATAATCCCAGCTACTCAAGGGAGTGAGACAGGAGGATCACAAGTTTGACAGTCTAGGGAACTTAGGGAGGCCCTGTCTCAATAAAAAGGGTGGGGATGTAGCGAGTGGTAGAATACCTCTGGGTTTGATCACTAGCACCCAAAAACCTGGACAAGGCAAAATTACAAAATGTTAAATTACTCTAACATCTAAGCCAGATATGTTGGTGAGAAACATGGGTTAGGCAACAGGAGTGGGCTATGTAAGAGAAGTTCTAAGACTCAGCCCTGCTTAAGAACACCACAGGCAGGAGGGAACTAGCCAATGGTATTTGCAGAAGGCAACCAGTAAATACCCCAAAGATATTCATACCTCAAAATACGGAATCCATGAATATTCTTTTATGTGGCAAAAAGGACCCTGCAGATGTGATTGTTCAACAGCCCTTGAGATGAAGAGATTATCCTGCATGATCTGTGGGCCTGATCTAATCTCTAATCTAGCCCTTAGCAGCACAGAACCTTCCAGCTGCATTTCAAAAGAAATATGACTATGGAAGAAGGGTCAGAGAGATGTGAGGATGCAACCTGCAGTTGCTGGCTTTAAAGATAAAGGAGACCATGAGCCAAAAGATGAGACAGCCTTTCAAAGGCTGGGAACAGCCTTCAGCTCAGACAACAAGAAAATGGAGGTCCGAGTCCTACAACTGCAAGGAACTGAATTCAGCCAACGCCCGGGACAGCAGGAAACATTCTCCCCCAGAGCTTCCAAAAAGGAATGCAGCCTGCGGACACGGTGATTTTTCATCCAGTGAGACCGGTTTCAGGCCTGCACAACCTATGATAATAAACATCTGATGTTTAAACCACTGAGTCTGTCAATTTGTTATGGCAGCAACTAAAAACTACCAAATTCTAAACTTCTTGGTGGAGAGAAAGGAGAGTACACAGGCTGTAACTTTTATTTTTTTTATTTTTATTTATTTTTTTTGAGAGAGAGAGGAGAGAAAGAGAGAGAGAGAGAATATTTATTTTTTAGTTCTCGGCAGACACAACATCTTTCTTTGTATGTGGTGCTGAGGATCGAACCCGGGCCGCACGCATGCCAGGGAGCGCGCTACGGCTTGAGCCACCTCCCCAGCCCCGGCTGTAACTTTTAGTAGTGAACAGCGGCTATGTATTTGTTGTTGCCTGCAGTGTGAAAGACCAGATGCAGGACCTCAGATGCTAGGCGAGCCCTCTACCACAGCTCCAGCCCAGCCCCGCAGCAGCTAAGGAGACGATTATTCAGCAACTAGAAATTAGAACTGGCACTCAAGATAGGCATTAAAATTGGCATCTCCCAACTGCTAAAAGTAGTTGTAGGACTGGAACGGAAGAAAATGGAAGTCGGGGAAGAGAGGGTCCCTGGTGGTATAAACCTCAAGAAATCCAAAGTTAAGAATTGAGAAGCAAGATATTGAGGGCTGGGGATGTGGCTCAGCGGTAGCGCGCTCGCCTGGCATGCGTGCGGCCCGGGTTCGATCCTCAGCACCACATACCAACAAAGATGTGTCCGCCGATAACTAAAAAATAAAATATTAAAATTCTCTCTCTCTCCCCCTCTCTCTTTAAAAAAAAAGAAAAAAAAAAGATATTGAGATAAAGGAAGACAAAGCCACCACATCTCTTAAGAGAAAAGGATCTCCAGGAGTGGTGGTGCACATCTGTAATCCCAGCGACCTGGGAGGCTGAGGCAAGAGGATCACAAGTTCGAGGCCAGCCTCAGCAATTTAGCAAGTCCCTAAGAACTTAGGGAGAGCTTGACTCAAGATTTAAAAAAAGACTGGGGATGTGGCTCAGTGACAAAGCTCCCTGGGTTCAATGCCTAGGGGAAAAAAAAAAAAAAAGGTCTTTAAGAATAGGACTGGAGGGCTGGGGTCATGGCTCAATGGTAGAGCACTTGCCTAGCAAGTGTGAGGCACTGGGTTCGATTCTCAGCACCACATATAAATAGATAAAATAAAGCTCCATTAACATCAAAAAAATATATTAAAAAAAAAAATAGGACTGGAACTGAGTGTGGTGGCACTTGCCTATAAACCCAGCAACTTTAGAGGCTGGGGCAGGAAGATAAAGTTTGAGGCCACCCTGGACAACTCAGCAAGACCTTCTCAAAATTTAAAAAAGGCTGCAGAGGCCAGGCACAGTGGTGATGCCTGTAATCCCAGTGGCTCAGGAGGCTGAGACGGAGGATCGTGGGTTCAAAGCCAGCCTCAGCGAGACCCTGTCTCTAAATAAAATAGAAAAGAGGACTGGGGATGTGGCTCAGAGTCCCGAGTTCAATCCCTAGTACCAAAATAAAGTTAAAAAAAAAATAAGGGCTGAAGATATAGCTCAGTAGTAGTAACCTGCCACTCAGGTGTAAAGCCATGGGTTTAATCCCCAGCAAAGCAAAAAGAAAAATAAAATAGAACTAGACACCTGGCACAAAAGCTAAAGAAGCAAAAGAGAACAAGCCCAGGGCTGGAAATGTAGCTCAGTGATACAGCACTTGCCTAGCTAACATGTGGGGCCCTGGATTCCACCCCCAGCACCACTTAAAAAAAAAAAAAAAAAAAGAGCCCAGATGATTCCAAAAAAAGCCAGCCAACAAATAAGGTTGGAATAAGAAGTAAACCTATCCCTGTATCCCTCATCTCCTGCAGACTACATGGCCACACTAACATCTGCCAGGGTATCAGATCTGTATATACAATATAAATTATGCTTCCCTGATAGAAGTGAAATACAAGGTTGAACACTCGATAACAAGCGATAATGACCTCCAGGCAGGCGCTTCAACACACCTACACCTTGTACTAAATCTGTAACACCATAAAGGGGCAGCCTCACCCCCATTTTATAGATGGGGCACCAGCACCAAGAGGTTAGATGACTTTGCCACAAAGATGGTACAGGATTTGAACCCCTGTAGTTCGCATCCCTAAAATCCTACTGTAGGGAAGAACTAGAAAAGATAAGTCATTTTTGCTCTATTCAACATCTGCTTAGTAGCTGCCATGAAATTAAGAGGTAAGGTTCAAAACCCAGTTTAATCTAATCACAGAATGACTAGCAGATAAGAAAGCTGTAGTAATTACAAAGGCTAATCAGCAGGGCTGGGTGTGTAGCTCAATGGCACAGTGCTTATTCAGCATGCATGAGGCAGAGCTCAATCCCCAGCATGGGCAAAAAAAGAAAAATGATAATCAGCCATGCAGAGGCTGCTGCTAGAATCGTAAATCTAGGCTTCCTTACAGGGAAAATCTGACTGCAAACTCTTAAAGAGTCTCATGTGTATGTGCACCAAGCTGCAGATACAATGAACAAGGCAAACATGGTCTAACGCTACTTGAAATAATGCAACTCAAGTAGCAAAGGCCACAAGCAGAGTAAACCGAGATCAACACCCTTCTAGGCCAGGGGTGCATATCAGAAGTAGAGCTGTGTCCTAGCACGCCGCGCAAGGCCCTGGGTTCAATCTCTAGACAACAAAGTAATGGTTATTTTTAAAATGAATTCAAGGCTCTTATTGCAGGGAAGCCAGACTATCTTTAAGGGGAAGGGTTAAGAACGAATGGATAAGGCTATGGGGTGCAGATCAGTGGTAGAGCACATGCTTAGTAAGTGAGGGACCCTTGGGTACGATGGTGGGGGAGGGAATGGACAGAAATCAACTTGGGGAAGGGATTGGTGGCATCCGGCCTCACGCTGGTTGCTCTGTATGGACCTGAGAGTCACCAGGGAACCTGAGAAGGCATGTGCGGTTTATGAGAAGAGCACAAGATGAGGTGGGGAGGTCAATGGGAATTCTGGCCAAGTGTGCAAGGAAGCATATGGAGCAGGGAAACTACTGGCTCCAACCGGTCTTTTAATAGGATCACAGTTTCTACTTTGTAGAAGACATAACTGAAAGCTAGGAATATAGATCAGTGGTAGAGCACTTACCTAGCAAGCAAAAGGCCCCGAGTTCCACCCATAGAACCACACCAAAAAAAAAAAAGCAAACCAAAAAAACACCAGAAGACAAAGGGGAGATCACACTTATGGAGCAAATGATGGCAGCGTCAACTGGGTAAGAACAACCAGGCTGAAGAAAATGTGGCTTGCCCTGAAAGATGACTATTTTTGGTACTTGAGACTAACAAGAAGGGGGGGTGCAAACTTCTCAACTGTTAATATCATGAAGCCAGGTACTCTGATTACTCCATCTGAAATCAAGTTCTATTTTGTGGGTAGGGGGCATGTGGGGAATACAGACTCAAAAAGATGTAAACTTTCTAACTGTGGGTTCAGAAGTACTGTGAAAGGCTAGGGTTGTGGCTCAGTGGTAGGGCACTTGCCTGGATTCTCAGCACTGCATATAAATAAATAAAGTCCACCAACAACTAAAATATATGTTTTAAAAAAGTGTGAAGCCGGGCACAGTGGTGCACGCCTGTAATCCCAGCAACCCAGTAGGCTGAGCTAGAGGATTCTGAATTCAAAGCCAACCTCAGCAATTTAGCCAGACCCTTTCTCTAAAATTAAAAAATTTTTGAAATGGGGGTGGGGGGCATTGAGGATGTGGCTCAGTGGTTAAGTGCCCCTGGCTTCAATCCCTAGTACCAAAAAATAGGGTGAATCAGGCTGGGTGTGGGAGCCCATGCCTGTAATCCCAGCAATTTGGGACGTTGAGGCAGGAGGATCTCAAGTTTCAGATCAGTCTCAAGCAACTGGGAGGCTCTAAGTAACTTAGTGAGACCCTGTCTCAAAATAAAGGGCTGGGAAGTGGCTCAATGGGAAAGTACCTCTGGCCTCAATCCCCCATACCAAAAAAAAAAAAAAAAAAAAAAAGTGTTAAAGGGAAGTAGTTGTGCATCAAATAGCCCCCTTCCTACTTCATTCTCCAAACCCAAATCAAAACTCGCCTGGCACCATCACAGGGTACAAGCCGGTGGAAATAAAAGATGGTGAAATTAATTTCACAAATCTAGATGAAGTGTCCAGATCTAGCCAGGGTTCCCGTGACTAATGCACACCTCCTTTGGAACAAGTTTTTCAGGAATGAATGGATGTCCTTCAGCAAGAGGCCAGGCCATCTTCCCGCCAATCCCTGTGCACAGAAGCCCTACGAGGGCAAGCACTGCTGGGGGGGGGGGGGTCCCCTCCATCAGCCGTCATCCCTCACTTATTCCTAGGTGCACACTGGACACTGACCAGTCCTCGCTGTGAAGGCTTCCTTGAGGCCCAAGGCTTAGGGCGCAGATTTACTATCAGAGAGACCAGCTTGCATGCTGCCCAGGCCTGACATGCACTCTAAGCGCTCCTTCTGAAACACAAGTTCCCCCGCGGGGCAAGGACCTTGTAGTCCCAGGTGAGGGACGGAGCCCGGGTGGAAGACCGAGCTCGCGAGCCTGAGCTGGCAGCGCCGGGGTAACGTCCGTCTCTGGAAGCCTCCATCAGGATGCACAGCTCAGGGAGAGGAGGAAGCATCAAAGGGGATGCCCAAGGGTCCCCAAGCACCCGAGGGGAGCCAGCTGGGCACCGGAAGTGGAGGCCGGAGTACCAGGACTGAGGGGTGTCTGGAGGCCCTGGGCTGCCCACTTCCTGAGCGACTAGGCTGGCGGCGAGAGCGCGGCCCATAGCAGCTCGGGTAGGGGAGCTGCCTAAACGAACCCAAAGCTTGTTCTATTTGGGGATCAGAAAAAAAACTCAAGTTTTTAGTCACCAGGGAGTTTAGAGGGACCTCGGCCCATTTTGGCGCCAAACAGCAAGGGGAGCGCGCAACCGGAAGTGCCACCCTGCCCGCGCCAACAGCGGCGCGCCGCCTCATCCCTACGCATGCGTGCCCGGCTGTCAGCAGCGGCTTCGGGCCACCTGGAGGGAAAGCGACCCCCCACTCTAATGCTTTGCCTCTCCCCCTCCCTGGGCCGACTGTCCCCCACAATACGTACCGCCTGCGGACATCGTCAGGCAGGGAAATGGCCGGGATGGCCAGCGCRGGCACCCGGGCAGGGGCGGTGCGAGCCGGCATCTCCGAGACTGCAGCAGACGCGGCAGCAAAGCAGACAGCCCCAGCTTTTCGCGCGGAAACTGACGGGGAGGGGCGGCGAGCGGAGGCAGCGCGTACCACCCTTGCTCGGGCACGGGGGAAGGAAGGACGTACCATGTGCGGGCAGACAGAGCGGAGCGGGCTGTGCTCCGAGGCTGCGCATGCGCGAGGCGGGCATGCACCCCCCCACACAGAGCAGTGGGTTCGTCCAAGCTCCTCTAACATTTGCAGTCTAGGGGGCGCAGTGCCTGAGACATTCATTCATTCTTGCGGGCCTGCGGGCATGCGGGCATGCGGGCATGAGGGCAGTGGAGCCTCCAGCAGTTTGGGGGAGTTAAAAAGCCCGCATTTGAGCTCTTGAGTTACAGCCCTCAGTTCCAATCCAACCTCCATTTGTTCAGTGTGACCTTGGGCTGAACACTTGGATTCAGCCTCAGTGTTCTCTTTATAGATCGGGCTAATAGCACTTATTCCAGAAAATCTTGAGGATACCCAGAATTTGTAGCCAACACCAAGGATCTCACACTGTAGGGAGGCGAGGGACCACCTCCACGGCCTGTCTATTTGATACAGCACCAAATCATAAGAAAAAGATGGGCTGTGGAATATCTGGTTCTGGGAAAACTTTTACAAAAGAAAGAAGTTAGGGCTGGGGTAGGTAGAGTGCTTACCTCCATGCACAAGGCCCTGGGTTCAATCCCCAGCACCACAAAAAAAAAAGAAAAACGTTAGATCCCAACTTCTCAAAATGGATTAAAGAACTAAATGTAAGGGCTGGGGATGTGGCTCAAGCGGTAGCGCGCTCGCCTGGCATGCGGGTGGCCCGGGTTCGATCCTCAGCGCCACATACCAACAAAGATGTTGTGTCCGCCGAGAACTAAAAAATATTAAAAATTCTCTCTCTCTCTCCCCCCTCTCTCACTCTCAAAAAAAAAAAAAGATTAATAATAAAAAAATAAAGAACTAAATGTAAGACCTGAAACCATAGACTATGTAAGAAAACATGGAACTAGAGAGGAAACCATGAGGGAAAGCTTCATGATGTTGAATTTGACAATACTTGAATATAACAAAATCTAAAATACACAAATGAGTCTACATCAAACTTGAAAACATCTGCACAGCAAATGAATCAACCAACAGTGGAACAGAAACAAGCAACTGAAATGGGAGAAAAATGGTTCAGCCACTATAGAAAACAGTATGAAATTTCCTCAAAGTTAAAAATAGAATTTTGTGATCCCACAGTCCCACTTCTGCCTGGCACCATCACAGGGTATAAGCCCATGGATTGTGTGTTTTAGCTTCCAGGCATGTATTCACAGAATTAAAAAACAGGATCTTGTGGTATTTGTACAACCATCTTCATTGAAATCAAAATGTCCATCTGCAGATGAGTGGGTAAAGAAAATGTGTCATATAGGGGCTGGGGGTATAGATCAGTTGGTAGAGTGCTTGTCTTGCAAGCCCAAGGCCCTGGGTTCAATCCCCAGCACCCAAAAAAAAAAAAAAAAAAAGAAAATGTGGCACATACACAGTGAAATATTATTCAGCCTTAAAAAATAAATCTCATCTCAGGCTGGGGTTGTGGCTCAAAGGAAAAGTGCTCATCCAGCATGTGTGAGGCACCGAGTTCAATCCTCAGCACCACATAAAAACTAAAGTATTGTGTCCACCTACAACTAAAGAATATTAAAAAAAAAAAAACTTATTCCCATCTCATGCTTCAACATGACTGAACCTGGAGAACACGTGAAATAAGACAGTCATGAAAAGATAGATACAGGATTCCATTTCTGTGAGATATCTAAAGTCAAAATCTTAGAAACAGAAAACAGAATAGCAGCTACCAAGGATGAAAAGGAGTGGAAAAAGGGGAATTGTTCACTGCATGTAGAGTTTCAGTTTCATGAAATGAAAAGTTTCCAGAAATCTGTTGCACAATATGCATATACTTAACACTACTGAACTGTACCCTGAAAAATGGTGAAGATGGTAGCTAAGGTACAACACTGAGCCTGTAGTCCCAGCATTAGGGAGACTGAAGCAGAGGATCACTTGAGCTCAGGGCCAGCCTGAAGCAAGATCCTAAAGTCTCTAAAGAAAAGGTAAATTTTGGAGTTGGGATATACCTCTTTGATAGAGCACTTGCCTAGCATGTGTAAGGCCCTGGATTCAATCCCTAGAAACACACAATCTTTTTTTTTTTTTTCTTTTTGGTGGCTTTTTATTGCAATAAAAAAAGAAACTAGGGATGGGGATATAGCTCAGTGGAAGAGCACTTACCTAGTAACAGCCAAGCAATGGGTTCAATCCCCAGTACCACAAAAACTTAGGCCAGGTACAGTGGTGCACATCTATAATCACAAGAGGAGGCCAAGGCAGAAGGATTTTAAATTTGAGGCTAGCCAAAGCAACTTAATGAGGCTATGTCCCAAAATAAAAAGAGCTGGGGATGTAGTTCAGTAATAAAGCATCCCTGTTTCAATCCCTAGTACCAAAAACATTATTAAGATTTTTTAAATGTGGTATTTTATCTATGACAAAGTACTAGTATGGCATGTTAACTTGGACATATTTTTATATTTTTGTACCAAAGTATTTGTATCCCAAAATGTCCAACCTTGCTATGCATCAATCACATAAGGCAGGTTGCTGGAACACTGAAAAATCTTTGGTTAAAGTAATTTTAATGTTTTCTGTTAATTTTAGAATTGATAAATATAAATCTTATTGTGCTACTGGGGATTAAACCCAGAGGCACCAAGCCACATCCCCAGCCCTTATTTATTTTGAGACAGGGTCTTGCTAATTATTGAGAGTGTCACTGGGTTGCTGAGGCTGGCCTCAAACTTGCAATACTCTTGCCTCAGCCCAGGTAGCTGGAATTACAGGCATGCACTGCTATGCCTGGCCCAAAATAAATACATATTAATTTAACATCTAGTAGAACTTATAAATGTTTTTTAGAGTTATTTAATTTGGTGCTTAACAACCCTAAGAGAAGCACAGGTTTATTTTCCCTCCCCTGAAATGCTTGGGACCAGAAGTATCTTGGATTTCAAAGATTTTTTTTTTAAGTTGGGGATATTTGCATATATACAACAATATCTTAGGGAGGGGATGCAAGTCTAAACATGAAATTATGTTTCATATATAAGTCTCATACACATCCTGAATATAGTTTTTCAATATTTATTTTTTTAGCTTTTCTCCTAATGTTGATGTACCTTTAGTTTATTCATTTATTTATATGCAGTGCTGAGGATCAAACCCAGGGCCTCACACGTGCTAGGCAAGTGCTCTACCTAGGCAAGTGCTCTACCACTGAGCCATAACCCCAGCCCCTATTTTTTAATATTTATTTTTTAGAAGTAGCTGGACACAATACCTTTAATTCATTATTTATATGTGGTGCTGAGGATCAAACCCAGGGCCTTGCACATGCTATGTGAGCAATCTACCACTGAGCCACAACCCCAGCCCCTAGAATATAATTTTGTACAAGTTTTTTTTTTTTTTTTTTTTTTTTTTAACAATTTGGGGCAAGAAAGTTTCATGGCATAGAATTTTCCATTAGTGACAACATATTCATACTCAGTTTTGGATTTTGGAATCAGGTTTAGGGATTTTTACTTGTGTGTACTTGCTGGGAATTAAGTAGAAGCCTCCATTTCCTATGGCCTAGGAGATTAGTTACATGGGACTCTGACTCCAAAGCTACTTGTTTATACAAGATCATAGATTCAATCAGCAACCAGATGTCTAGTCCAGAGCCCGAATACAAAATGGTGACCCCAGTGTTGGCCACTTGGCCATCCCACAGATGGCCAAAAGAGACAGGACTGGGAAACTTGACAAAGTCATCAACAGGGTAACAGTCACAAGAAAGTTTCAACAGAGTGCAACTCGGGCTCATAGAACTGTCAGCACCTAGCACGTGGGCCTCATATACCTTGGGGAAAGAGGTGCTCCAGGGCAAAAGGAGATTCAATACAAGGGAGAGGAGCTGGGCTTTTGTTTTTCTAGAGCTGGGGAATCAGACCCAGGGCCTTGTACTGCTAGGCAAGTGCTCTACCACCGGGCTACATCCCTGGCCACWGCAGCTGTATTTACTGGGGACTTCCACACAGGCAGATTCTTTAATACTTGTGTCAACCTTGCTAGGAAGGAATGAGTCTGGTCATTTTATGGATGGGGCCAAGGCTCAGACAAAGTTTGCCTACAGGCTTCCCACAAGTTGAATACAACCTCTTGGTTGTTCTTTGGAACTACAATCCGAATTTTTCTACAACTCAAATTCTATCTGCTGCAGAGAGTTCTTTCCCCTCCACACTGTAGCTAAGAAAAAAAAAATTATTCCATCTTCAGCACCCAGCCTAGATTCATCTGATTCTGCTCCACCTCGTTGATCACCAACTTAACTGACCCATTTTTACCCTTTCAGGCTCATGTGCCCCAGGGCCTTTGTTTTTACTGTAATTTCTGTGCAGACCATTCTTCTGGAAAATTTGCACAGCTCAGTTTGCTTGTGCTTAGAGGCTTTCTCCAGACCTCCTGTAAGCAATAGTTTGCCCTCTACTCACGCCATCTTATTACACAGTTTCTTCATAATAAAAAAAAAATCTGACCATGGTAAATACTATCTATCCCAACTAGAGCAGAGGTTGGAAACCTTTCTGTAAAAGACCAGATAATATTTTTGGTTTTGTGAGTCACACATTCCCTGATCAAATTGCTCAAGTCTGCTGTGATAGTCCAAGAACAGCCTTAGCAACTTAGCAAGGCCCCATCTCAAAATTAAAAAAAAAAAGGCATATAGCTCAGGAATAAAGTACTCCTGGGTTCAATCCGGTTCAATCCCCAGTATGGGGTGGGTGGGGGCCACAAACATGGTGGGCCAGATTTGGCTCTCAGGCGTCATGTGTGGAATCCTACATAGACTACATTCTCCGAAGAAATGCAGTTATCAGTTGAATTAATATATACGACATGGAAGGTACCCGAAAGAGACAAGACTATACGGGAGTGTAATGAAGCAGTTTTCTGTCCCACAACGTTGTAACTTCCATTTCACAAGGGGAAACTGAGGCCCAAACTGGACCAGACTGCAAATCT